AAGTCAAACCACCAACATGAAAATGAACCAGATAAAATGTTCTCTAGAAAAATGATATGGAGGTGGGTATTTCAAAAGTTCATGGAAAAATAGAATTGAAAGGTAAGCATATTTTAGTGCACAAACATCTGAAATCCATGCCTACGTTTTTCATCGATCCATTTTCCATGAAGTTTGTAGACACCTCATGTGTATGATGTCAAAAATTTTGGCACCAAAATAAGCTTAATTTTAACTCTATCTTGAGAAATCTTGAAGTATCTTTGCACTCCAAATACTCAAAGCCAATTGTGCAGCCATGATCCACAAGCTTTCGGAGTATGATATCTACAGACTGAGCCAGCAGGACAGACAGGAGGTGAGGACACAAGGTGAAGGCCTGGTTCCATGTCTCATGATCCATGCTGATCACCTGGGCACTCTGAGTAGGAAGCCATAAATCAAGTGTAACTTTAGTAACTTTGAATTCTGAAGACTGAAGATGTATCAATCCACCGTATCCAATCTCCTCGCATAATGAACACTTTTTTCATTATTTTACATCCATCCTACTTACCACCTAGTATAAAGTTTCTACTTTGTAAGCGTTGCTGTTGTGGTTAGCATCTTGACTAAGAAAGGCCAGAGTTTACCATCTGTTCTTCCATGGACTATATTCATGTTTATTTGTGTATTAGTTGTATTTGTGGGAATCTCTGAGGTTATAAACTAGTGGCCGTGGACTTGGATTCATTCCAGAAGTAAATTTTGCTAACATAGATTTATTTTTTTTAATTCTGTGCCAACACTTGACAATTTGTTGATTTCACATAAAAATAATCTAGATATCCAGAAAATTTGAAGACAGAACTGTAGTTTTATGTCCATATCTGCTAGCAACTGTTTGATCACCCAAGTTCTCACTAACTTACAGGCCTTTATATTCATGTAGCTTTCATAAGCTCTTCCACATAATTTATTGCTTAATTTCTTTCCATTTTTTCCCTCTACCTAGAATTAAGTTAGTAATCTGAAAACAGAGTCTATCTTTTACCAGTATCCTTGGCTCTCAAAGAACATTAACAGCTGTTTATTAGTTACTTCCTTATTAGTGATTAGCTTGACAACATGATTTAAAATTAAAAAAAAGAAACATCCCCTTCTGAAAGGAAAGCAGTTTGCATCACAGAAGCCCTTAATTGCATTCAATATAATCTTATTTTTTTTTTTTTTGCTATATTATGGTTCTTGGGGCATTGTGGTTTGTAATGCCAATATCTTGAACACTAATATTTAGATCACATACATATTTCATGAAGGGAAATCCACCTAACAAACTTTCAGTCCTCATTGTGGGAGCTAAACCCACTAATTTTTAAGCTTTTTTGTAATATAAAATGTAAACATAGAGTGCAACATACAATAAAGGTATAGCTTAATGAAATATTAATTGGAATTTGTGTGTCTTTCCTCTGTTTTCTGCAAACTGTTTTTGAATCTAGGGGCTTGATCAGATTCAATAGATCTGATCCACTTGTCAAGACTCTAGAAGGTAATGTGTACTTTCTTTAATTGATGCACAGGATCTGCTTGCCTCTTTTATCTTAGCAATTGCTGATTCCTAATGCCTAGATTCACTCACTGATGGAGGCAGCAAAATAGCAAGCTTTTAATTCTATTGGTTTTTTATTTGTTAGAAAAGTATTTTTAAATATTTTAAGGAAATGCTTCTCCATGCTTTCTGTTTGTTTGGTTATACCTTGGTAGAGTTTACTAGGAAAGACTTGATAAATGCTTGATTCCTTGCCAGTTTTCAAGATGTTAGTTTGGTTTTACATCAATTTCGGAAGTGATCAACTGTTATAATTCTTTAAAATATCTTTACAAATGTGTGTGTTTATATGTATCTTATGAATGTCAATATATTGCAACTTTTTATATACCCTTCTACTTGTCTCATCTTTGGTATATGGGAGCCTCTTCAAAATGGTTCCTGCATACATTTAATGTGATCCTAAGAGTTTTTGGTTGCTTCCTTTCTATGTTGTATGTCAACAACATACAATCAGGCTCAACTGGTATGTTTTCAACTTCAGACCAAGAATCAACTAATTTTGCAAGAGGACTTTCTTTTTTTAAATCTATGTGCCTTTCTTCCTTTGTAAAGATTTGCTTATTTATGTGAAAGGCAGAGTGACAGAGAAGAGGAGGCAGATATTTTCTCTATGATGGGTTACTCCACAGATGGCTGAAATTTCTGGGAATGGAAGATACTGAAGCCAGGATCCCAGAACTCTGACCAGGTCTTCCACATGGGTAGGGGGGACCCAAGCACTTGGGCCAACATGTGCTATTTTCCTAGGTGCATTAGCACATCAGTCAGGACTTGAACCAGTACTCCCGTATGGGATGCCCATGTTGCAAACAGCAGAGTTTAACCAACTGCACCACAATGCTGGTCGAAGGCCTTGGTTTCTTGTAGTGGAAAAAAATTGTAACTGAATCCGCATGATAGGGATACTTGTTGTTATTGAGTCAGCTTTTCCAGATTTTCCAGTGGACAGAGCCAGGGCAGACATATAAAACACCTTTTCAACTTCCTTCCTTCTGTTTCCAATCAGATTTTAGGAGCAAAGGATTTTATGTAATCTCTTCTATATTACCTCTCTGTGTCCTTTCATCTGTATTAAGAATCTGTTTCTTCAGGACACAGGGGGTGACAGAACTATACTTTCTCACATTTACTAATTTTCTTTATTCTAGTATACATTAGTCTCAAAATAACGATAATAGATTGTCACCATCAAAGGAAGGAATTTGGTCCTGCAGTTATAACACTTCCTTTCTGTTACAGAATACCTGGGTTCAGTACTAGGCTCCAGCTTCCTGCCAAGGCAGAGACTGCCAGACAATGGTGATGTCTCAGATTGACTTCCTGCTACCAATGTGGGAAACCTGGGTTGAGTTCTCAACTTTCAAATCCTGCCGTTGCAGGCATTGGGCAGTGACCACTCAATGGGAACTCTGTCTCTCTGCCTCTCAAATAATATAATAATAATAAATAATCATTGAAACACATTGTTTTACCTATTTTGTCTCTATTCTTCTTTGCTTTTGTCTTATATTGTGGACTATGTAGGCATTACAATGTAATCTCTCCCTCATAACCCTCATCTAGTCTTAGTTCATTAAGTTTATTATTCACTGGTTAGCTATTAGGTTTATGTCTCTCCTGGTCATTTTGGATGTCTAAATGTTGAGGACAAAAGTCCCTGACTGCTTGCAAGTTTAAAGCAATTTGACTGTATCTTTTGTTTTTAAAGTTAACTTTTGTTAAGTATAAAATTCTCAAAATAGGTTTTCTTGAGTATCTAAAACCAGTTTCTCTAATTTCTTTTAGCATAAAGTGTTGCCAAAAAAAAGTCTAGGAATAATATGATTTTCCTCTTAAAAGTAATATTTGTTCAAATGCTTAAAAGATTATTTAAGCTAGAAAAAGTTCTTAAATTACACATTTAGCATTTTACTATTCTTTTTCTCTTGTTTTATTCTTATTTTCAATATGTTAGATCTTCCTTCCCCAGCTTCAATATTTGTCTCTTTCTCTTGATTCCTTTTTTATTCTTTTAGGCAGTTCAGTTCTTTCTGTTTTGTTTCTTTTTTTCTGCCTGTTCACCTAATGATTCTTACTTTGTAAAATTATTGTTATTGACATATAATATTTCTTGAGTAATGCCACCTAATTTCTGGGTTTTCAAATTCTTATTTTCCCCAGAAACCTTTTATTTAAATAATATAAACTTCATGCATTTCATAAGCACAACTTTAGGAACACAGTGATTCTTCCCACCATACCTGATCTCCCACCCACACTCTCAGCCCTCTTCTTCCTCCCTCTCTACTCTACTATCTGTCATCATTTATTGATGTTGCTGAGTTTATTTTGAAACAGTAAATTGTAGTTTTGATTTATTGTTTCTGTAAATTTTAACAGCTTTGCATCTCTCTTATATCTACTTGTTTATGGGAATGTGATTCACTTCCTTATATTTTTCTTTTGATAATTTTCTAAGAGAAATTTCACCTCCACAAATTTTTCATTCCTCACATTTATGGATTTGTTTTCATTGACTTCCAGAAGCTAGGATGGCTTTTCCAAATATCTCCCTTTCCTATTATTTTTTTTTCGTTGGATCAAGGTTCAGCAAACCATAGGCAGCAGGTAGGGTCAGCCCCAGGTCTGATTTTTGTGTGAACTGAAAACAGTTTTTATGTTTTGAAGAGTCTGAAATAAACAAATAGATGGACACATGGTTAAATCAATGTGATTTTCAAAGGTAAAATATTTACTATCAGTGCCCTTGATAGAAAACCTTGCCAGCTTTGTTAGAGATTGAAAACTGCAGCAGCTTTGTTCTCAGAATTTTCATGGCTGCTCCTCTCTCCGTTCCTCTGGACTTTTCTCCCCTTCCTTTCCATTGCCTTGAGCCTGCTCAGATTTCACATCTCTTCTCAGGAATTTGTCCCAAGTTTGGTCCTTCTCTGGAGAAAAGATTTTGTGGTCTAGGTTCGAGTGTTAATGTTTGCTATTGTCAAACCCTTGTGCTACACTTCCCAGGATCACCTGATGGTTAGTCTAGTATATTCCTATTTTTAGGTTTGAAGCTTGCATTTGATTTTTCTTGCATAGAACACTCAGGATATAAGATTTCATTCTTTGTCTATAACCTCTTATATTTTAGGGTCTGAGGTCACAGTGCATTACTGGACTTTATAATAAATGTCTAAATGCTTTCAGTTTTCTACCTAGTCATTCAGACACGTTTCATATGGGGATATGAGATGATCTAAAAACTCTAAGGCCACCAATGTCATATTTTTCTTTGAACCCCGCCCACTCATTTTTAAACAGCAGTTTACTTAACAGATTACAGTAAGTTTATTTTCAGCAAAATGTTTACCTTGCATATTTCAGTACATGAAATAAATCAGCATGTTCATATTGTTTCTGTTTTCTCTAGAGTCAAGTTCCCATTACGTAATCTCCCTAAAAGCTTTTAACAATGCAGGAGAAGGAGTTCCTCTTTATGAAAGTGCCACTACCAGATCCATAACAGGTAAGACAGCATGGTTACTCTTGTGACAAGGTCATCAGTGTTTGGGTTATGGTGAGGAAAGTAAAACTAAACCTAAATTAAGCAAAATACAGAAAATGAAAAAAAAGTGTATCTTCCCAGCCTTACACATGTGTGTGTACATGCATACTCTATTTTGATTTCTTTAGCTTTCCAAATTAAATGGCAAGAATTCAGTCCACACATTCACGCATGGACTGGGAGAACATAGACGTCCCAGCAGCTTCCTATTTTTGGTGTCCTGATATTACTCTTCATTCTCCTGAGCAGCTCATTGCAAATCAGGGTCCTTTAGGCAGTTCAGTCCCTGCACAAGGGCCGCAAAATACCCAAGTGGGAACTCATTCCTTCAAGCCAAGATGACAAGGATGAGCTGGCCTCTTTGGGCTGGTTTATAGTAGGTTCAGTCACATGGGTACATTATTCCTGAGTTGAGCCTACAGTCCCCTCAGGAGTGCCCTGGACCACTGGACATAAAGGAATTGGGAGACTCATGTACTTATCACCTCCAGGAATTCTTCTGTGAGTTGGACTGGACAGGTGGCCCATAAGAACATGGGGGCCCAGGAAACTGAGAGAATCATGGGTATGAAGGTGGATAGAAGCCCCTGATGGAGGCTGTATGTTAGGAACTCTAGGTTTGTTCCAAAATAGAACAAGGAGGCTACTCAGAAATGCTGGAAAGTGATGTGCATTCTACCCCTACTCACATCTGAGATCTGGAAATAAAGTTCCATTTCTTGGATTAGTATCTTGACCCATCCCCTACCAAAAATCACCTACATCTGACCTCATTTAACTTGTCCGTTATTTTCACCTTAATGAGAATACAGGATGTCAGAGAACAAGCACCAGACTTGGTAGCAAGTGTCAGAGAGCATGAAAATTACTGGAACATGGGGTCTAGGTGACTAGGAATGCAGGGTTATAAAGTATATAGTGGAGTCCTGCACTACACACGTTTACGTGAACTTTGTGTGGTTTCTTGTCCAAATCCACAAGACCCCTTTACAGACTACCCTAAGGAAATGACTATTACATGAATTCTACCTATTATGTGATGGTTTTCAAACATAACATCACTTTTATTGATTTCAAACAAATTTTCTTGTAAGACAAAATTGTTAGTCCATATCCTTAAATCTTTGGCCACTGGTTTCAAGGTCTAATATCTGCCTTAATAGCAATGCAAAATTTGGGTCCCATGTCAATATCTTCATTTATCTGTGGAAATAGTTTCATTGTGTCACAAAGAGGCTCACGACTCTTCAAGAAAGGAATATTGGAAATATTACATTAGAGAATATTTACTATCAAATATTTTTTCTCCACATTTGTAAAGAAGAAAACTGAGGTCCAGGATAGAAGCTAAATGATAACACTATCATGTAGGGTGTCTGGGCTGCTTGCTTTTTCTTGTTGCAGTATCAGAAGCAAGATTGCCTGGCAGAGAGCAGGCCCCATTGACTACACCAGTGGTTCCCGTAGTTGATACTTATTTAGCCATCTCATTTTCGGCCAGGTTAAAAATGCTGAGGAGCTACTTGTAGACATGTTGAATTTGAGCTTGGGGTCAGGTTACACAAAATTATGCTGCTTAAAATTAAATTAGTGCTCCTAACTGAAACTAAAATCCATGAAGATGGCAAACAGTTGACAAATAAGAGAGAGTTTACAAGCAAAAAGTAGCAGCAGTAGCAGCGGTGGTAATAGAAGTAAAGGTAGTAGTGCCCAAATGAAAGGAAGGTAAATGGCTCAGAAAGAGCCATGAGGTCTGATAAACTTTTTTCCAACTGGTGTTTGCTATCATTCTTTAATTTCCAACATATGGCAGGCCCAGAAGGTTTTCTAAAAGAACCATCGATCATTAAGAAATTGTTTTCTTGGTATGACTCTAATCCTAATGAATCTGAGAAATGCACTGATTCCAGAGTGCGTTTATGTGAAACACACAATGAAACAAATTCCTTTATGTGAGGAATTCGCCTATGAAGAAAAGTGTGTAAGGGATTGTATGGCATTCACAGGGCATCCTTTCCAAAGGGAAAAATGAATATGCTTTTCCCAGAGGTATCAGAATTATTTTATTTTCACATGTCATAAAGAAGCAAGGACAAACAAGTGGAAAGCAAGGCGGAGGTTCTGGGAAAAACTTCATCAATAATTGAGTTTCAATGCCACCTAAAAGACATTCTGTGCTTAGAACTTCTGGAAAGCATTCCCATGAGCACTCTTGGGGAAAGTCCAGCATAGAGTAAATACAAAATCTACCAGAGGCAGTGCAAATGTCACTCTGGAGTAAGCACCAGGCTGTAGAGCTTTCTACATGGGTGTGCTCATAGATGCTGGTGAACTCTAGAGACCCATCTCATACAGGGGATATCAGCATTCGATGCTGAAAGCGTCATCTGACCTAGTGCAGTGAGGGTTTCAGCTTTACTCTAGAGTTATCTGTTGGTTGTTGCTGTTGTTATTGGATGAACAAGACATTTTGAACATGGAGAAAGGAAGAAGGAATGTAAAAATCGCAGGAATAATAAATTGTGTTGTTTAAATTTCTTTATTCACAGTCATTTCATCAATGTTTAAATGAAGTACAGACACAGACCAGATATAAAACTATTTGTGTTTTCTTAAGTGTATTAATGTGACAGGCAGAGTTATAGAAAGTTGGGGGAGACAGAGAAAAAGTGATCTTCCATTTAATAGCTAATTCTCCAAATGCCTGCAGCAGCCAGACCTGGATCATGTCAAAGCAAGCAGACAAGAACTCCAACTGGGTCTCCCATTTGGGTGGCAGGAACCCAAGCACTGGAGCCATTAACTGCTGTATCCCAGGGTGCATATTAGCAAGATGTTAAAGTCCTAACTAGAGGTGGGGCTTGATCCATGGTTGGGACATGGGTGTCCCAGAGGCAGCTTAACCTGGATCCCCACATTATCTGCTCTTGTGTTACTATTCTTAAAGCTTATTTTTAACTCTAGTGTAATGAATTAAAATTCATAGTCTCCCACCAAAGCAATAATCAGTAACTGAATGTTTCTTTTTTTAGTAACATTTTGAGACTCTATTTTCTCTTTTTATCTTTTGTTTAATGTAACAACTGAAAATCTGTAACGTATAAGGACACCTAAGAGTACAAGGGAATCATACTGAGAAATAAACACAGAAAAGATCTTTTAAATTCAATTACTCAAATCTTTTCTGACCAGAAAGAAAAATACAGTTAGCAATACATGTGATGTGTTTGTAACAGGACTTAGTATCCACAAAAAATGTTCTGTTTTGTTAAAAATGCTGTATGTATCTGCATTATTCAGTACCATAAGTAGTAGGCTCTTGTGTCCATTGAAGATTTGAAATTGGCTAGTGCAATGCAAGAGGGGACTTATTTAAAACTTTAATTGATTTCAATTTAAGTAGTCCATATAATTCAGTGGCTATCGTATTAGATTTGTTCTACAGGAAGTGACCAGTAGAATAAAAAGCCAGAGGTGAAAAAAAAAATTATTCTATAAACCCTGAGGAAAACCTTGGCCAAGTGTTTAAAATTCTAGATTATGTAAACTCATAGATAAATGTCAAAAGACAACATTGCTTAAAATTTCAAAGAAGCTTTCTGGAACTGACTTCAAAAAACTCAATAATAATAGCCCTGATGGATATACTATTCTAAAATCAGAGCTAGCAGGACTAACTCTTACCATATCTTGAAGTAGAATCATACACTGCAAAAATCTTACATGCAGTACCTGTGACAGACTAGAAAGTCATCATAAATTTACCAACAAAACTAGATTAGGCAAAAAAAAAAAAAACCAATAAAGTGGGTAAATGATTAATATATATACATCAAAAAAAGTAGTTCGTAAATTGGAATACTCCCTGGCTCTCTGCACCATTTCCAATACCACTCCCCAACCCATGCACAACATTCTTTTAAAGTCAGCCAGGGATAGTTAACACTAAAGTAACGAACTGCTTTAGTTTGGCAAAAAGCATATTCCAGCGCTACAGAAACCTGATGAATGTGAAGAATCCTTGTGGAGAATGTAGTGGCTTCTGCCAAGCTCTCCCTACCAACCTCTCATCGTGTCATAAATCCATTTGGGTGTAAAAAAGTCCTTAATAAAAAGCGACATCAAAGGAAGTGCAGGGAGCCTGGTCTCCGTCATTAAATTTTAAACATGCCTTTCTCTCTCTCTCTCTCTCTCTCACACACACACACACACACACACACACACATACACACACACATTTTCTCTGTCTCACTTTGTCTCTCCTTTCCTTTTCTCTGTTTTTGTTTTTATATTTTACTCTGGAGACCGCATAGCAGCATACCACTAAATAATTCATTGGGAAACAGAGTGATGTATAGAGCATAGGGATTTGAAATGCAGTGGACAAAGTGAAGTAATCATCAAAACCAGCAAAGAGCCACTCTGCTTTGAACTAGACTCTTTAAAAAAAAAAACAAACAAAACCCATACTTGAGTCAGCATAGGCCCTGCTGACTGCTGTGTTATCAGAGCTTATTGTTTGTGTAACTGAGAGCACAAAGCACATAATACAAACATAGTTTTAAAAATGTAAATGCATAAAGCATAAAATGCTTAAAATTGGACTATCACTGTGGCCACAAAGTAAGCTTCTCTGATTCCAATCCTATCAACATAAAAATGAGTGCAATATCTTTTTGGAGAATTTCTCAAAGCTATACACATCATTCTGCAGATTCCCATTATGTTAGGTATGATAGCATTTGTGTACCTCAGTGCAATAGGTAGTTAATTACATATTATTGGTCATGAAGACATAATCTTTCCATCAAACAAAATTTTAGCATAGGAATAAAGATGATTGAAGTGACAAAGATGTTTTTACTCAGTGAGAACTTGGATACAATTTGTACTTTGACATTTTCTCTAACGCTTCTCATCTAAGAAAATCTGCTACTCCAACTATTATCTGAAACTTAATTCTCAAATGTATAACTGACCCCTGTGACCTTGTGTGCTTGATCACCCTGGCTTTGCTGCTGACATCAGAGTGCTTGTTTGTGTGTTGCCTAAACCATATTGGTGAAAATTTAAATGAAAGAATAATGAATGCTTTCAGAGAAACTCAAATTAAAAATGGAGATTTAAAATCCAGATGTTAGAAAAGCATTTATCTATTTTCTAGAAAGAAAGAAACCAAAAAGTTCTTTTTAGGTCTTTATTTTACCTATACAGTAATAAAACTCAGACATTCTATACTGTGTCTTTTAAGAAGCAATGTGTAACATCACCCTCCCCAAAATGTGGACTTTCAAAATAAATTACCAGAAGTGACAGCCAGATTGATAAAACCACTCTAAGGAAAGGAGTAAATCATAGAAAGCATGCAGGTATTTTTGTAATGTGGAAATACTATTTCTAATGTGTTTTCCTGTTGAATTAATGGCATTTTTTTCTGTTCTTCTCATGTTCCCTGTCATCATTATTGCCATGCATTTAACTCATTGTGATGTGCTACCACTGATATTATTTTAACGCTTTTATTTACATATTGTTTGTTTCATTTGGTGGGTTTTTAACCCAGATCCCACTGACCCAGTTGATTATTATCCTTTGCTTGACGATTTCCCCACCTCCGTCCCAGATGTCTCCACCCCCATGCTCCCACCAGTAGGTGTACAGGCTGTGGCTCTCACCCACGAGGCTGTGAGGGTCAGCTGGGCAGACAACTCTGTCTCTAAGAACCAAAAGACTTCCGACGTGCGGCTTTACACTGTCCGGTGGAGGACCAGTTTTTCTGCCAGTGCCAAATACAAGGTGAAGTTCTAATTGATGACATGAAGCTCAAAATGAATTGTCATTGGTTGCATAATTGTTTTACGTGCTTCCTGGACTGTCATGACTCATTTTGCTACAGTGACTTTATATAGAAAAACAAAGCATTTTGATAATTAAATACCTGCAGTTAGCACAAGAATAATTGCGTCTCAGGAGAGAAATCTAAGGCGAGGTACAAAAACATTTGGAGCTGCAAAAAGCTGTTTCGATTCTACCAGATAAGGGGTTTGTATCAATAATTTGATTCTGTACTAGGGAATGAAATTTTGCTTTGAAAATATCTAAAATCTACATTACTTTTCTAGAGAGATTTTGGTATCTTTAGTTTCATTTAGAATCTATATTGACTCTAAAGCAACCCATTAATATCACAGAGAACTCCCGGTTGCCCCTCTTCCAGGCCAGCTCTCTGCTGTGGCCAGGGAGTGCAGTGGAGGATGGCCCAAGTGCTTGGGCCCTGCACCCCATGGGAGATCAGGAGAAGCACCTGGCTCCTGGCTCCTGCCATCGGATCAGCGTGGTGCGCTGGCTGCAGCGCGCCGGCCGCGGCGGCCATTGGAGGGTGAACCAACGGCAAAAGGAAGACCTTTCTCTCTCTCTCTCTCTCTCTCTCTCTCTCTCACTGTCCACTCTGCCTGTCATATATATATATATATATATATATATATATATATATATCTCTCTCTCTCTCTCTCTCTCTAGAGGGAATATTACTGGGAATGGATCTCATAATCCACACTCCACAATAATTAACATGAATGACCACAGCCCCCATTCTTGGCATTATTGCCAGTTCATCTCACAACCTCTCTAACAATTCCTTAGGGACGTATGTTTGAGGCACACAGTCATTACCAGTTTCAAATTTCCACTAGCCACCCTCAGAAGCTGTTATATATACAAGGTTATAGTAAGATCATGTTGGTACATCCTAGACCTGCTACAATATTGATACATATAAGTAACAAGTAAATGTAGACATAGATGAGAGGATAGATGAGAGGATCAATGAGTGTCAAGCACCTAGAACTGTACTTGATCATGATCAGTTTATTTTGAAAGAAATCATGAGTTAGTTGTCATTACTTAAAATATCACATGTAATTTTGGAGCCAGTTATACATACACTCAGCTTAACAGGTCTACTAAAAAGACTGCACACAATACTCCAAAGAGATCATATATGAAATCACATTAAAAACAATGCTTCATAAGATAATGATTGGGGACAAAGAAAGTATTTTTGAAAAAAAAAAAAAAAGAGCAAAATATCACCCAACAGCCAATGAATCAAATAATTTAGCCCTGGTATTCCAGTTTCTTCTTATCTCCCCCAACACCTTATTTTTTATTTTAATTAACTAATTTATTTATTTGGGAGGCAGAGAGGAAGAGAGAGAGAGTGACAGAAAGAAAGACAAAGAGTTTCCATGCAGTGGTTAACTCCCCAAGTACCTGCAACAGCTGGAGTTGGGCTGTGCCCACACTAGGCTCAAGACAAGAGTCAGGAACTACATCCAGGTCTCCCAATAGGTGGCATAGATCCAAGTCCTTGAGCTACTGATTGCTGCTTCCCACGATGAACCTCTGGAAAGCTGGAATTGGAAGCAGAGCCAGGGTTCAAGTCCAGACACTATGATATTACATGTGGACATCTTCACCAGAGTCGTAATCGCTAGGCCAAACAACTGCCTCTTCACACTCCCCTTTATCTCCTCTCCTTCCCACTTTATTTCAGGGCAGATTTAGATGTCTTGATATGTTATCTGCTTTTCTTACCACTGAACTCATGTTTCCCTAATCCAGCCTCAAGCCAGATGTGATGTGAGGGAATGAAAGTATCCTCTGAGATTTCTAACTCCAATGTGGGAATGCAGTGAAATCCCATCAGTAATTCTTTAGACCTGCTTCTTTCTTCCTGTAGCCATGCCTTTCTGCTTCTAATGTCTTCCAACTTTTAAATAGCATAAAATTCACATCTCGTAATAAATCACTTTTTTAGTTGAAACCATCGATAAAACAGTTTTCTTTCATACTGTGGGCCTGCTGGGTCAGGTCTTCAGAAACTCTTGAAGCAGGACTAAATTGTTCCATTCCTGTGATATGTGTTCAGTACTCCATATATCTCCTTACAGCACTAGATTGAAGACTCAACAGAACTATAAATAAAGATAACACTATCAGAAAAGACAACTAAGGAAACATATGAGAGCATTAAAAAAAGATCTCTTTTTATATATATATTACCCAATTCTAAGCTAACTTTTAAGAGAATACTTTCTTCACTTTAAAATTTTTAGGCTCATAATCTTACTTTATAGATCCATTCATTTCACAGAATAGCCATGGCTATTTTGCCAGAGTGTGTAGTGACCTAAAGGACGATGGTTGTTTTCTGCAGAGTAGTTTTAGTTCTAAAGTTTCTTGAGCCAAATGATTTCAGTTGAGTAGTCAGCACAGCAGACTTGCAATTATTGAGTTTCACAATCATCTTCCCTGATAGAAGGCTTTCAAATCCTAACTCACCATCTCCTTCTCACACACACACACACACACCCCCGAGATGAGGAAAATCAGAGGAAACAGCTGGATGAATTAAACAGTGAGAAAAAAGGTAGGGGCCGGCACTGTGGTGCAGTGGGTTAACACCCTGGCCTGAAGCATCGGTATCCCATATGGGCGCCGGTTCTAGTCCTGGCTGCTGTTCTTCCTATCCAGCTCTCTTCTATGGCCTGGGAAAGCAGTAGAGGATGGCCCAATTATTTGGGCCTCTGCACCCACGTGGGACACCTGGAGGGGACTCCTGACTCCTGGCTTTGGATCGGTGCAGCTCTGACCATTGCAGCCATCTGGGGAGTGAACCAGAAGAATGGAAGACCTCTTTCTCTGTCTCTACCTCTGTAACTCTGTCTTTCAAATAAATAAAATAAATCTTTAAAAAAAAGGTAAAACCTATGTGGTCTACTTGAAAGATACATAATATATTTAACTTTTAGAAATTCTATTACTCTATTTCCTATTACCCTGACAAAATACTTGAGACCATGTAATTTTTTTTTAAAAGGAGGCTTATTTAGTTCACATTCCTGGAAGTCCAAAAGTATAGTGTAGGCTTCATCTTGTCTCCCATATCCAAGATGGGAAACCACCATGTATTCAAATGATCTGGGCTCAAGGGTTCACTTCATGATGTTCTGCCTGGTCATTTACCTTACTCAGGCTTATATTTTTCTTTCATATGATGGGGATATTCACACTTACTGTAAAAATAACACTTATGTTTTTTCATAGTTAAGTATACTATATGCATCTTTATGGACACAGGTAACTAGTATAACTTGACAAAAAATTCCTCATTAGAGTTGGAACTCAGGTGATCTGAAGGCATCATGTGAGGATCTTCCCACAGAATTTCCTTTTACTTCAATTAGTCCAAAGCAAGACATAACAAAGACACTCATATTTGAGTCTCCAAAACTCTCCGTATTGACTTCTGGTCAAATGGAGGAATTTTTCTACAGCTACTTTCCTACCAAAGTATTTAACACATGCTGTTTTACATGAATTTCCATTCAAGTTGCATTTATTAACAGTTGATTACTGACATATACTGCACAGTTGTGTCTTGTTCTCATCCCTCCAGATCACAGCTGAATAGGGAATTTAACAAAAGCCTAAAATTATAGGAAGAGAAACAATGAACTATTAAAGCTAACATTTATTTACTACCTGTTTTGAACGAGCTACTTTGCCTTGTTTAACTCATTTCACACTTTAATACTGTTACAAGGTCATTACAATGGTAAGCTCCAATTTACAGATGAGGAAACTGTGGCTTACACAGGTACTATCTGAGTAATTTGTGCTTATAAAAATAACTGACCATGATTTTCAAAATATTTTAAACAAAAATTGAAGAGTAGTTTTCCATGAGGTTCTAGAGAAAACTCTCTAAATTCATGGATCTTAAATAATGCAGATCTGATATTCTAGAACATAAACAAAGATGATATACCACTTATTTGTGTTACAAACCCCAGTGGTACTCAAAGAGATGGACTTTATAAGATACGGTGCTTCTTTCCTACCTGAACTATTTCTCACTGCCCTATTTCCCCTTCCTATTTCTATTTCTAAGACTTAGAGCTGTTCTCAAGCATGAACAAGGACAAATTTGAGGTTATATGTCAGCATGTCAGATACTAATTGTCCATTTTTTTTATTTGATAGGATTCCATTTTCCTTATAAGACAAAGTATTTTTACATTTATTTGGGACACATTTCTACAGCTATTTTTTAAAAGATTTATTTATTTACCTGAAAGTCAGAGTTACACAGAGAGACGAGAGGCAGAGAGATCTTCAATCCGCTGGTTCATTCCCCAGTTGGCCACAACTGCCAGAGCTGTGCAGATCTGAAGCCAGGAGCCAGGAGCTTCTTCTAGGTCTCCCACGCGGGTTCAGGGGCCCAAGGACTTGGTCCACCTTCTACTACTTTCCCAGGCCATAGCACAGAGCTGGATGGGAAGTGGAGCAGCCGGGACTTGAACTGGCACCCATATGGGTTGCCGGCACTGCAGGTGGTGGCTTTATCTGCTATGCCACAATGCCAGCCCATAGGTCCTTGCAGCTATTTTCAAGAAGGGCTTCTGACAAATGTTCCTCAGATCATCACTTCAATAGTATGGATGAGCACATCATCAAGAGGCTATTGGTGCAATTAAATATTTATTTGGTGTTATAATGAAATGTATGATTTTCATACATATACCTGAGAAACAGTCATAGTTGAATAAAATGATATACCATATTACAATAGTAAGGAAGTGAGAGAGATGTCATAGTGGTAAAAGATAGTTTTCCTTGATTTTCTAAACATAGATATAAAAATTTAAGAAATATAAAATTAAGCATTTAACTTTGGAAGGAGATCAAGATTTGTAAACCCAGAACAAATTTATAAACATCTATCTATCTATATCTGCATCTCTCTATATATAAACATATACCTATAGCATAGACTCAGATTTATTGAATAATATAGAAAAAATATTAACCTGGGAGATTTACATGTTTTTTCTTTAGCATTTTGATGTTTTAACATTTTTATCAATATAAAGATACCAGATTTCATTATTTGATAGGTATAGTTGTAAGAAAATGAGTTTACTTGCCCCCCTTCCTCCATCCCTCAACACTCTTCTTCTTTTCTATTTTTTTCCATTAATTTTTACAATAACATATTTTTTATATTTTTAACATAAGCACTAAAGACAGATAACTTTCTACTAAAACAGTTTTAGTATATTGGACAATGGATAGGGGGCTGGCGCCATGGCTCACTTGGTTAATCCTCCGCCTGCGGTGCCAGCATCCCATATGGGCGCAGGGTTCTAGTCCTGGTTGCTCCTCTTCCAGTTCTCCTCTCCACTGTGGTCCGGGAGGGCAGCAGAGGATGGCCCAAGTGCTTGGGCCCTGCACCCGCAGGGGAGACCAGGAGGAGGCACCAGGCTCCTGGTGTCGGATCAGCATAGCTCCAGCCGTAGCGGCCATTTTGGGGGTGAACCCCAAACGGAAAGTAGACCTTTCTCTCTCTCTCTCTCTCTCACTGTCTAACTCTATCTGTCCAAAAAAAAAAAAAAAAAGACAATGGATGTATTCAGAAGGCCAATACTTCTTTGCACACCAATGTAATTCTTTATCGAATTTGATACACCTCTAAATGTTTGTTTAACGTAAAGTATGCATGAAGAAAGAAAACTCCATGGCACAATATTACCTTTGTTTATAGGAGCAACACAGATTTCTTTAAAATAGTTAAATAAATTCTCTAAGTCTTAAAATTTGTGTAATTTGAAGACCTTTTAAAAACATGATAAGCAAAGAATTCTTGGCTAAGACCCCAGAAGCCCAGACAATAAAAGCAAAAATAGATGAATGGGACTACATCAAGCTAAGAAGTTTCTGCACAGCAAAGGAAACAATAAAATGGAGACACAACAAGCAGATAGAGAGAAAATATTTGCAAACTATACAATTGATAAAGAATTAATATCCAGAATATAAAAGGAGCTTAAGAAGCTCAACAACAACAAAACAAACAATCCAGATAAGAAATGGGCTAAGTATATGAACAGGCATATTTCAAATGATGAAATACAAATGACCGTCAGAAATTAAAAGATGATCAGGATCACTAGCCATCAGGGAAATGCAAATAAAAACCACAATGCTGTTTCAATTCACCCCAGTTAGAATGGCTATCATCCAAAAATCAAAAAATAGCAAATGCTAGCAAGGATGTGGAGACAAAGTTACCCTAACACACTGTTCATTGGAACATAAACTAGTGCAACCATTATGGAAGATAGAAAATTTGGAAAATAGATCTGTAACGTGATCTAGTCATCACACTCCTGGGATGTTATCAAAAAGATATGAAATCAGTACCATCATGTTGAATTCACAGTAGCTAAGATATAGAATCGACCCAGATGTCCAACAACTGATTACTGGATAAAAAGATGTGATATATATAAATATATATGTATATAATATATATAAATATATATGTATATTTTTATAGATGTATATATACATATATATTTATATATGCATATATAGAACAAAATTCTGTCTTTTGCAACAAAATGGATATAATTGGTGACCATATGCTTAGTGAAATAAGCCAATCCCAAAAATTCAAATATCATATGTTTTCTCTGATTTGTGGTAGGTAATATATAGAGAACAAAGAAATGTAATAAAGTATTTGAGGGAGATTGACATCTTGAGATTTGATTATTATTTATAGCACTTGTCTATACTCCTGAGGAATAATAGTCTTTCTCCTTTCTACTTGAATTTTTTATCTAGTGGAGGATTAAGCTTGTGATTATAAAATAAATTGAAAGTATGTTATCCTAAACATTAAAAGAGAAATAAAGGAAGGACAATAGGAAGTATTGTTATGTTCTTAAAACTGTATTTATGAAATGCATGAAATCTGTTCTCTTTATATAAATAAGATTTTTTAAAACAAACATGATAAGCTGAACTCAAATTAATTCTGTTAAGATCTATGCTAAAATATAACAGTATGACCAGCTAAAATGTCTCATATTTCAATGATAAGTAAATTTAAGTTAAAGTCAGTGCAGATGACCTCAAAAATTGAGTAGACCAAGGGAGTGGAGTTTGTCATGTCACCAGTGTTATTGCCTCACTTAGAAAATTTATCAGCTTACTGCCTTTCTGCATAACATAATACCTGATTTATTGATCATGTTTTGGATGCATAATCAGCCAATATAAACTAGTTGTCAAGAAAGTGGAATCGATGTTATACCTTAGCTCTTCTGCTTTTGGAAATAAGTTCCTATTTTTTTTCTCTGACTTTCTTTGATAGTTGTGTTATGTGCCTTGATTTACCAACTTGATAGAACTCATTTGTTCTCTCTATGCTTATTCCCCACTTGTATAGTCAGAAGACACAACATCTCTAAGTTACACAGCAACAGGCCTCAAGCCAAACACAATGTATGAGTTCTCAGTCATGGTAACAAAGAACAGACGATCAAGCACATGGAGCATGACAGCACATGCCACCACATATGAAGCAGGTATGTGAGGAAGGTCTGGCTTTGTCTCCCTGGTTCTGTGGAAGTTGAAACATGTACAGTGTCTTGTCTCAACTGTATCTTATCCTATGTAAAATATGTTGTCCTTTATAGTATATGGCACTCATACCTAATGTTAGACTCACAGTTTAGAACAGAAGAAAATGAGTTCCCTATAGATTAAGCAAACTGGTTGCATAATTTGTATGTATTTTCTTTAGGGTTTTAACCCAGGGTTATCTAAATAAACATCATCTTTTAAATATATTTAAGTAAAAAACAAAAGTTTATCTACTGTACTCTGCCCAAAAATATTATCTTTGAGCAAAAGTCATGCTTGGTATTTGCTATCTTGAAAGAGATTAATAGAAAAAAAGGGGCCAGCACTATGGCACAACAGGTTAACACCCTGGCCTGAAGTGCCGGCATCCCATATGGGTGCTGATGTGAGACCCAGATGCTCCCCTTCCCATCCAGCTCTCTGCTATGGTGTGGGAAAGCAGTGGAAGATGGCCCAATTCCTTGGGCCCCTGCACCCATGTGGGAGACCCGGAGGAAGCTCCTGGCTCCTAGCTTTGGATTGGCACAGCTCTGGCCTTTGCGGCCAATTGGGGAGTGAACCATCAGATAGAAGACCTCTCTCTCTCTGCCTTTCCTCTCTCTGTGTAACTCTGACTTTCCAATAAATAAATAAATATATCTTTAAAATAGAAAATAAAACATCACATTATTGGCCGGCGCCGTGGCTCACTAGGCTAATCCCCACCTTGAGGCACTGGCACACCGGGTTCTAGTCCCAGTCAGGGCGCCGGATTCTTTCCCGGTTGCCCCTCTTCCAGGCCAGCTCTCTGCTGTGGCCCAGGAAGGCAGTGGAGGAGGGCCCAAGTGCTTGGGCCCTGCACCCCATGGGAGACCAGGAGAAGCACCTGGCTCCTGCCTTTGGATCAGCGCAGTGCACCGGCCGCGGCAGCCATTGGAGGGTGAACCGACGGCAAAAAGGAAGACCTTTCTCTCTGTCTCTCTCTCTCACTATCCACTCTGCCTGTCAAAAAAAAAAAAATCACATTATCATGTTAGTCTAATGCATACTTAACATAAATATCCTTAACTGGATTTGGGAAGAAATGTTCAGATGATCTTCTACTCTTTGAAAATAGAGCAACATAATTAAATTATGCAATTTGAAAGAGTACAAATCTAGGTACTGCAATTCACTGAATGTTTTATCAGTCACAATTACCATAGATCATAATTGTAGAATTTAATACCCTAACAGGAATACAATATATTTGGCACTATAGTTCACAGAAATCTAACATCCTACCAATAGTTTTTAATTAGTTTCATGCTATTATATCTTATTTGTGACTAAATTACACCACAGATTTTCGAATACATAGCTAGTAAAGCTCTTCTCTGTGCAAGCTGAACTTCTGTTTCCATTAGTACTTGTCTCATGGCTCTGCAGTTCTAATTTGTATTTCAGACTAAACCTTACTACTAGAGTTCTAATGAGTATTTTTACATTTTCATGGTACTTCTTCCTACAAGAAGTTTCCTAGTTGGTCTAATTTAATTTAACATCCTTGCCTTTTAATTTATATGTTATATGTATATTAACTCTTCCTCTCAGTAGTCTGCCCTTGGTGTCAGTGTTTACAGCTTCTTAGAGTGATTTCCATACGGTGTACAGTTAGGGAGAATAAATGACATCCTCTTACTTCTACTTGGAAGGAGATGAATGGAACAAAATTTAAGCTAGTAAGTCACTTGGTCTTCCCTGAGTGAAAGAAAAGGAATAATGATTTACTCTTAAAGCAAGAAAATGCACTCATTTTTCTCTTTCATAAACATAAAATGCACACCAATGTCTGACTTGATAAACACACCCTATCAATTTTTCATCAACTGTCTGGCATTGTACTGACACCAGTGGTGAGACCCATTGCTGACAAAAAGATATTAACTTCTAGAAATGTGGTTAGTCGAAAAGGTGATTGTGAAATCATGTAATGATCTGGACAAAGGTGTAAATAGCATGTGGATGAGATGCCTGGGTGATGATGAGAATCAAGAAGTAATTCACAAGTGTCTTGTAGATTTTATAACTGCGAGAAGGAAATGAAGTGAATGAAATAGCTCAAGTGTTTGCTTCTAATTCTTCAGTAATACAAGGACTGAATGGGACTACAATATTATGTGCTAAAATGGCTCATAGTAAAGATAAGGGTGGAAGACAAATTCTTGAAATAAACGTTTTACTCTGTCCAGATGATAAGTCCTTCATTTTATTCTCTTTGGCCTAAGTAAAATAAAAATAACTGCAATAATCGGGCTTTGGAGAGGGACAGAACCAGCATTATTCCCAAGTTTGGAGGTACAGAACTCTTGGTCTGTATTTTTTCAAGGTGCTCCCATCACAATGGTTTGATTCTCTTTTGTTTTCCATCCTTGTACTGAGATTCACTTTTTGGGAGACACGCTCTTATTGGCACCTCTTGAGATAGATGATCACACATCTAAGGCAAGAATAGCATGAAGACCTTAAAATCCTCAATGTATGTTGGTACCAAAGTCAAATGATACAAAGGACAGCTGCTTCTGCACAGAAAAAAGCCAAGGACTTCTTTGAAAGGAGGGGGTGCATGAGGAGGCAGTCCAGATCACAAGTGATGAACTCCTCACTTCTGGACAGTTTCCTTTCATTATAGGTAATGAAGAAGTCAAATGTGGGGAAGATTGTTTGACAGGCAGAGGTCAGAGGACAGCGCTGCTTCTCATGGACAAATATTTGAGTCTCAAGTTTCCAGTAATGTTCATTTATAATTCTCAGTGCCTGAGATAGGCCCTTGGAATGGAAGTTAAAGAGAATAGAGTCTGTATAATTTGTTCTTTTAATAAACTTTTAGTTTAAGGACAGTCTTAAATTTACAAAACAAAAATTGTGAAACTCCACGAGGGGTTCTCATGTATCCAAATCCCTTCATCCCCTGCTGTTAATACCTCATGTTAGAATGATGTATTTGTCACAATTAACAAACCACATCCAGCTTCCCTTTATTTTAATTCAAACTCTCTCTCTCCCAACCCTCCAGATCTCTAGTAATCATCATTAAATATTCATATTAAGGTTTCTGGTTTGGGGGTTTTTTAACTCTCATGTATGACACAGAACATGTGGTATTTATCTCTGCCTTTGGCAGATGTGTAATCCAATAAAAGAAAAAAATGTTAAAAATCCTAAAGTAATGTGAGGAATACTGTCACACAATTTGAAGAAAGTTGAAATCAGAGCAGAAAGATCAAGTGCAAAGTCCATCTGGAGAAGTAAGAGGAGGTTTCACAAGTGCAGTAATATTTTCCTCTGCTCTACATAGATTGCCAGGTACCCACCCAGGAAGTTAAAAAGAACAGGACCAGCATTTACAAGAGTATGCAAACAGGCATCAGAAAGATGTTGTTTTCAAGAGATGATTATGAATGGCTCAAAATGACAAGAGCACATTTTCAAGGAACACTGAAAAAAAAAAATGAGGCTGTAGAAGTAGTGTATAAAGCCTAGATGACTGAGTATTTGTTATTACCTATTTAAGATTCTGCCAAATAGGATATGGAGTCAGTTAAGAATTTCTGTTTTTTTAAGTTTGGATTTATTTGTTTTTAATTGACAAATAATAATTGTATATATTTATGGACACGATGTGATATTTTGATCTATGAAAGTGATGGTACTTCAGAATGTTCATGGAAAACAGAATTAAAAGTTTGTTTTGGTGCAAGAAAGATTTGAAATCGTCTTTGTTTAAGTGGGGGTACCTTCAGAAAAGTTTACAGGAGATGTGTTTGAAAAATTGTATGGATTTTAAAATTTTTGCATCTAAGATTATTTTATAATTCCATTCCACGAACTTCTTCAAGTGCACCATATCATAAACTCTAGTCAACTTGCAGTGCAATGGAGCACTCGAACTTAATGCTCCTCTAACTGAAACTGTAGCACTGATCTACATCTTCCCCTTTCTCATCCACTCTCCTCTCAGCCTCAGTAACTACCTCTCTGGAGCAGGCCACAGGTGTATCACCTGACTAGGGATCCTCAAAGTAGATAAGCTCAACTGCTTTTCCAAACACTGGGGTAGATCCTGCAGCTCATAGATCCTAAGCATTCAAGTCACTAATATAAATGTTTAGAAATTGTCTTCACCAACGTTCACATGATGTAAGGCAAAAGAACTTGTGCAGCACCTGAAATAGATGAGCTGTTTGATTTTTCCAAATAACCAACTCTATTATTTTGACAGCAAAAGCTGAAAAGCTATTTTATCCATTTTAACAGTTTGAGTAAAACAATGCAATCATCATCACTTCACTGTTTTCTAAATAAACAATAATTGGAATTTTTAACATAGTGACTATGTAAAGAAAGCAGAGCTAATCTGTGCTAAAAGAGGGTTATTCTAGCTTAAAAGACAGATCTTTGTGACCTCAACACCAGCATCCCAAGTGGGCACTGGTTTGTGTCCTGGCTGCTCCACTTCCAAACCAGCTCCCTGACAGTGACCTGGGAAAAGCAGTGAAAGATGGCCCAAGGGTTTAGGCCCCTGAATCCATGTGGGAGACATGGAAGGAACTCCTGGCTTCTGGCTTTGGCCTGGCCCAGAGCTGGCCATCGCAGCCATCTGGGGAGTGAACCAGTAGATAGATGATTTCTTTCTCTTTCTCGCTCTCTATCCCCCCAACACACACACACCAACTCTTTCAAACAAATATTTTAAAAGGACAAATCTGTTTATTTCTCTTACAATTATAAATTTTCCCTATTATGTTTTGTGTGATAATCTGTCTTGCTTTCCTATCTATGGCCTAAAAACTTCTTGAGTGAAACCTTGATGAGAATAACCCTTATTTAAAATAACATTGTCTTTGATATTTCACTATAAGAAATTTGCTTTTCTTGCAACGATGCCCTGATCTGGTTTCATTACAATATATATGTGCAGTCTTTGTACTCAGGGGCGAATAACACTAGACTTAGTATTTTCCTCCTCCTGTCTCTCCCGCCTCTTCCTCTTTCTCAATTTCTTTCTTCTCCTCCTCTCTATTCTTCTCTCTTGCTCTTCAAACAAAGGGTGACTGAGAGATTGTGGAAACACACATGGAGCATTGTTAATGACCTGAAGGAAAATCTGTCTTTCAAAGCACAGAATGCGGAAAACAGGAAGAAGCCTGGAAGATGCTGAACTGTCTCAGCCAGGTTGCTGCCACCTTTAAAATGACTGAAAAATTCAGTGAGCACAAAACTTGGGAGAAGTAGCTCTAAGAAGGCAGGGGTTTGTGCCATCTTACTTCAGTCCAGCTTGATACAAGGACCCTTAATGATGTTTTAGCTCTGCCATCAACTTTCTTTGCCCTTTTAATTAGAAAATACTAATAGGAAGATAATTCAGAAAGTTCATGGAAAATGGAATTAAAAGATTATTTTGGGGCAGAGATTTTGAAATCCATGCCTACTTTTTTAATAATATACTTTATCTGTGAACTCTTTGAAGACCCCTGGTGTGTTTCCTAGGCACCATATTTAAATCATTTATAAAAACATTTTACTTTTAAGGAACCAAGTAATTCAGTGCCATTTTCATAAATATACTGTGGTTCTCAGAGAATTCAGACTCTTGAAGACATGTAGTTATCAGCATCACTAGGTATGCATACATTTCTTAGTTGCTTGAATTTTTAGTGTGGGCGACTTGAAAATGCCAGTGGTATTTTTCCCCTCTGTGTTTACATACACTGCATTCTTCTGTTCGTAGTCACTCCTCTGGATATCCTTTAACCTTCATGGAAGCCATTAATTTGTCTATCTTTGTTTGCCTATTTGGTTCCAATCCTTGAAATAAACTGTAAATGGCAAAATAAACATGATGAACTTCATGATAGATTCTGAGTGTCAACCTTGTGATTAAAAGTTCTACCAGTGTCTGTTTTCTTTCTCCTTCAGTGACAAGGTCTTGTCTCTGTTTCGTCTTGCAGCCCCGACCTCTGCTCCCAAGGATTTGACAGTCATTACCCGGGAAGGGAAGCCTCGAGCTGTCATTGTGAGCTGGCAGCCTCCATTGGAAGCCAATGGAAAAATCACTGGTAAACATCTCAGCTTTCTCTCCAAGCAAAGCTCTGCCTTGCCTGTGATTGCTGACCTCCTGGGCTGCTCTGGCCTTTTGTGTTCATTCTGTCACAGCATCTCAGCCTGATCTTGCACCCTCTCTGATTATCTCCTCTTGCCTTCCACTGGCCATGGAATTCTTCAACTTGTGCATAAAATACCGACACATACACATTTCATTTCAGCTGCTTCATGAAAGATTAGGATAGACATTTTGCTCTTCATACTCTAAAGTACTGGAACACTTGTCTTATGGAACACTTCTGAGTATAAATGAGTAAAAAGAAGCCCAGTTGAAATACAAAAGATGTCTAATGACCAAGTGTTTTCATATGACACATTTAAAGGAGGTCTGAGGAGTTTTGATTTCTGACTTAGCTTTTAGCTTCTTGCTTAAATCATAAGGTTCAAAAACCACTTAATATTGACTGACAGAAATTGAACATAATGAATATTTCACAGTGACAGATTTTATTTTGCCAAATATTGCTGATAACATCAATGCCTAATTAAAGCACCCATTAGAAGCCTGTAATGTTAATTTAGTATGAAAAATATAATGGGGTTCTATCAGAGATTTTGCATTTAAATGATCACTTTAAGCTTTTAATAGATGTCTCCATAGCATATAATTATTATGAAAAATATTATGTAACTCAAAATATGCACATTATAGTCTAATTAACTTGAACCATTGGATTAGGAACATGTGAGAGTCACTCCTTTTTCTTCCTTTTTGCACACAAGAGGTGGATAGCAGTATTATAAATTAACAAAGTAATCCAGTCATTCTGTGATGCAGAGGTAAGCCTGGAATGGCCCTTTCAGATGGCACTCTTACTTTATTGAGTTACTTTCTGAATTTTGCAAAATGAAAACATAGTGTTAAAATTCCAAATGTGATTTAAGTTTACGTTGAAGATATGTTTTCTCTAGGAAATTACTTTTAGTGCAATAGCAAACACAATTTTCATATAAGCTGATAAAGATGGGGGAAAAAAGAGAGGTGTGAAATCGCCCCACATCTTACATGTTTAGTTATCAGTGTGCCAGACCTTTTCAAACCCAGACTGACTCATTTTAATTTTCTTCTTCCACTCTCAGTATTATCATCCATTTTCAGTGGTTCTGTTTCAGTGCTTCTGTAGATTTTGGTTTGTTTATATATTGTCTCATTACAAATATGAGGGGATTTTAAAAAACTTTTGAATAAATGATCAGCAATATGACTCAGAGTTCAGCTGGTGCCTGTGACACAAGCATCCCTCTATCAGAGTATGGATTCAAGTCCGGCTGTTCTGCTTCCAATCTAGTTTCCAGCTAATGCACCTAGGAAGGCAGCAATGTTGTGATTAACAAGTTAAGATATTTTATCTCTAAGCAACTGGGAGCAAACACTAAGAACCCTTAAAAGAATTTCTGTCCCATATATATTTTGATTTTTTTCATTCAAATAACTTCTAGAAAATATGATTGCAAAATATTCTAAATTCTAGACCTATAGGCAGAGGACCCAGATACTCAGCTTCTCAGGGAAGTTATTGTAAAATGTGAGTCCTCTCCCCGTGCGTTAATGAAGGCTCCCATGGAAACCTTTGTCTTTGCTTTCTCAAGTCCTTTGTGTATACAGATGTACGTCAGGGTGGTTAAGAACCCAGGCTCCTAGGGGAGATGCTTGAGCAAGTCTTTTAACCTCCCTCCCTGAGTCTCACTTCCTACTTACGAAATAGAACCTGTCTGTTAGACTTGTTAAATTACCAGAAAGTTCCTAATACCCACCAAGCACCGAAACACATCAGCTATTATTGTTTCAATTTGAAATCCATTTTAGGGTGAGGCTTTATTTGCTTTGCACAGAACTAAGATAGTTAATTTATAAATATAAATTCTTAAAGAAAATCAACCGAAAAACAGCATGAAGGAGGAAATTCAATAATATCAGTCCTTACTTCCCCGACCATAAAATGGCTGCTTTAGAATTTGGACTGTCATTTTCAGAAGAAAATGGTTCAAACTACAATTAAATATTCAATATATGATTGGCATTCTGCTGAGCATTTTATTATTGTAAGTGATCATGTATTCATATTATTCCAGTTTTGAAATGAAGATATAAGGGCTTTCTTGGTAAAAAGTTAGCTCAAAGTCAAATGACCAAGAAGTACCAGAGCTAGGTTTTAAAATTCACCAGCACCATGGCAAAGTAGATTAAGCCTATGCCTGTGACACTGGGTTCCATGTGGGCCCCAGTTCAAGTTCAGGCTGCTTCACCTCCAATCTAGCTCCCTGCTAATGGCCTGGGAAAGCAGTGGTAGATGGTCCATGTGCTTGGGCTCCTACTCCCATGTGGGAGACCCAGAAGAAGCTCCTGGCTCCTGGCTTCAGAACCACTGTAGCCATTTGCAGAGTGAACCAGAGGACAGAAGATGTCTCACTCTCTCTCTTTCTCTGTTACTCTGCCTCTAAAATACATTAATAAAACTTTTAAAAAATTCATGTCCATATTCAACTATGACACTATGTTTTGCTCCAACTTTTTAGTGTTCTACTGACCTAAATTAGTGATTTTCAGCTGAGTTTTGATTTAATTAATATTAAAAGGGTTGAGCATGGCTCTTATCAAAAACTTCCTGAGTGATTTTAATATACAGCCAGAACTGTGGAACTTTGGTCTCAATAAATGCAGTGCCCAAGGCTATTTATGATAAGAACCAACATAAAAGGGTTGGTGTCTCAGAGATTGTTTTCTTGTCTAATGACTAAGGTTGTATTCTCCTTTTCTGGGTCACTTGCTACTCTAGTCCAATTCCTTTTGACTTTGTAACTCCTTTATCCAATGATTTTTCATTGTTTTTTGAATTATAGTCCTCTAATTTTATTGTTTACCAGAGGTCAGATTCACACAGCCTTGGAAAGTTTTGTGGCAGTCTTTATCTTGATTATGTCTTTTATCTTCTCCTGAATTCTCAGCATCTTAAGGCCTACATCATTACAACAAATGTCAGAAAATTAACAAATCCCATATATCAACAGAAGTGATATTTCTTGACCTTGCCTGACCTCAGAAACCAAATTGTGTGCAGATTTACTGAGGTTACCGTTAAACTATTGTATTAAGTATCTATTGCTCTGGACATGAATTTGAAGCTTCAAACAATTTATATGTCTTATCTCACTGTTTCTTGCGCCTAGAATCTAAGCATAACTTAGCTGAATATTGTGCTTTAGGATCTCTTACAAAGCTATAAATCAAGAGGCTAGCCTGGGTGAGATCTCTGATTGGACTGAGGAAATATTTGTTTCTAAGCTTATGTGCTTGTTGGCAGCATGTGGTTTCTTACTGGCCGTTGGCCAGAAATCAACATTGCTTCTCGCCACATGTCTTCTCCATTGGCAGCTTGCTTCATCAAAGCCAGTAGACTAGAGAGCCCGTAGAGTATGCTAGCAAGTCAGAAGTCAAAATCTAATGTCACATGCTCCCAGAAATAACATTGCGTCACATTGGTTGTGTTCCATTGCTTAGAAGTAAGACTTAAAATGCATCAGCTCAGCCAAAAAGAATTTGTAGTGGGGTAACTACTTGGGAGTGGGTTTAAGAATAACTGGAGACAATCAAAAACTGCTTGCCACATCTACAAAATCAAAATGGCCTATCTGGGGTGGGGGAGGGGGGCCTGTTTTATATTTTATACCCGTCCTCCAGGTAGTTGTTATAATTAGGCCAACTCAGGAAACTCAAAACTAGGGTTTTGAGTTTGAAAATGAAAGCCAAAGTATAATACATACAAGTTTTCAGCATAGATCAGAATTCTAAAAAAAATGGACTTCCAGATATTGGAGTTTGTAACATTACTTAATACTTCCAAACCAGTTCAGAGTCCATAATCTACACCTCAGATTGAATACAATAAATCTCTAAGGAATTGATTAGTAATATAAAATTATAATTGTTTTAATACTGTACTGAAGTATATCACAAATTTATAGAAAGGAGAGCTCATGATTGAGGAATGTTTTGTAGGTTAAATGTAACTTAACTCTACCTGGATAGATGGGTAGATGGACTAATGGACAGATGGATGCTATTTTTATTGAGAAAGTGAGGAACGTTAGAATGATATGAGAATAAGAGGAAAGAAGAATGAGCATGGTATGAAGAACAAACTATCTGTAGTGAGGGTTTGTGCTGAGATATGGATGGCATGCATGGTAATTTTGGAAGGAAAGTGAACTTGAGTCAGAAAACTTTGGAATAAAGTTTGCAAAGGTCTATGAGTAACGGTCCCTAGTCCAGAGTGGGTAGAAAGGACTCAAAAGGAAAGTGAATCAATGGAAGATAAATGGTTTACAAAGGATATATTCAATGTACAAGAATATACTTAGAGGCTGGCATTGTAGTGTAGGGGTTTAAATCTGCCATCTGCAATGCCAGTATCCCACAGGGACACCAGTTCTTGGCCCAGCTGCTCCACTTTCAGTCCAACTCCCTGCAAATATGCCTAGGAAAGAAGCAGAAGATGGCCCCAGTGCTTGGTTTCCTGCACCCACATGGGAGATCTATAAGTTCTTGGCTCCTTGCTACAATTTCCCAGCCATGGTCATTGTAGTCATTTAGGGAATGAACCAGCGAATGAAAGATTTTCTCTGTGCCTCTCTTCCCCCTGCCCAGTTACTCTGCATTTCAAATAAATTAATCAATCAAAAAATCTGCCACATTTAAAACTGCATACTTCTCCCACTAATAAATCCTGATTGTTAGCATGATAAAAAATATATAACAGAGTTAACAAGTTTGTATAATTTTTGCTGCAGTCCAGTAATGAAAATAAGTTGTGCTTAAATAATAAAAATACACCAGAAAGTATAAACTATTTTACATTTTGGAAGTGTTATAAAAATAAATGAACACATTCAATTGCTATAATAACTCTGTAAGGTTGGCAGAGACAGCTTTCCTCTCCTGTCCCAGATGATGAATTGAAGGTGACAAAAGTTCATTGGAAAAAGGGCTAAGATGGCATCCTCCACCACCATCCTAAAATCCCAACACTATTCCCAGGTATTGCAAATAAGTATACTGCTATGCCACACCATCAGCCCCCAGATATTTTCCTTTATGTTTGCCCATCCTATTTGCTAATTCTGTACATTGAAGCAATTATTTATGTAACCATTGCAATATTAAAAATTGGGAACAGGAATTTAGCCTGTTTAAGATGCTCGTGTCCCACATTGGAGTACCTGGGTTTGCTTCCTGGCTCTGGTTCCTGACTCTAGCTTCCTGCTAATGCAAACCCTGGAGTCAACAGTGGTCGGCCTAGTAATTGGGTTCCTGCCACCCACACGAGAGAGATGCATTGAGTTTCCAGGATGCCTGGCTTTGGCTCTGGCACAGTCCTGGCTGTTGTGAACATTTGAGAAGTGAATCAGTAGTGGGGAATCTCTTTTTCCCTCTCCTACCCTATCTTTCTTTCTCCACCTCTCAAACGTAAAAAGAAAATACTTGCAAAATTGAATCTTGTAGATTATATGTTGTAGAAATTAATAATCACTGCAAATGATATTTGGGAAACATGGGTGTTTGGAAGTAGAAATGCAATGTGCATTCAGAACACTAAAAGTTGCATTTTTCTATTTATTCAGCTTACATTTTATTTTATACCTTGGACAAGAATATACCAATCGATGACTGGATTATGGAAACAATCAGTGGTGATCGGCTCACTCATCAGATCATGGATCTCAACCTCGACACCATGTACTATTTCCGAATCCAAGCACGGAATGCGAAAGGAGTGGGGCCCCTCTCTGACCCAATTCTTTTCAGGACTCTGAAAGGTTGGAATCATCTCCCATTACTTTTCCTTTTCCTGTGAGATTGTTATAAAATAATTTTGCAGTCTGTGCTAGAAAATGCCCCACACGATCTCTGTTGGCAACATGGCTGCAATAGAGGTTCAAAATAAATTAAAATGTACCTGTTATGCTCAGAGCCAACATGTCAAAGAAAGATCTATTGTGTTATCACATTTTCTGCCATCAGCACAAGGCAGATATATTTAACTTGACTTTTTTTCATTTACAATCCTTTTGGAATTTTGTATTGATTTCATGTCTATTGGTTCTATTCAAAATATAATGAAACCCTTCAGCTGTTTTATATAAGGGGATAAAAATTAAAATGCATTGAATTATGTGAATGGCATACTATTGCCAGCTTTAAATATTTTCTCTCAGGAACTGTTGTTCTTATATATTAAAATAAATTTTGATATAGCAAAACATAAAAGCTCAAGCAAAACAAATTAGTTTATATTAAGGATCTAGGGTAGCAACAATGAAAAATTTGAATTAAAGTTATTACAAGAAAAACTACACATATTTGTAAGAATTCAAATAGCTGCTTGAGTTAAGGATTGTTATATGTTCATACAGAAAACATTAAGGTCCTAAAATAGTGATTACATAATCATTTTGATATACTTTTTTTTGGAGCACGATATTATTTTCTGAGGGATAAGTGCTTTCATTGAACAACTGAAAATAATTTAAATGTTCCATAGTTAACCTTCAAAGATGTATGTTTAAGACATGGTATGTGTTGTAATGAAGAAAGGCAGGTTGGCTTTTAAGTCTGTGACCACATTATGCCTATTTATCTGGCAGAAAACTTGATAATACCTGATGACAAATAATGATGGAATTAGAAACCTGTGCATGATTGACATTTTTTTCCCAATTACTGGGCATACTAAAAAGAGGAGTTTTAGACTAACTGAATTTTCTATTCCTCAGTTTTCCTAGGAAGTTACCTTAACAAAGAGTAGATTTTTGAATTCTAATGAGTAAGCTACTCAAAAGCTGAATTTTACTAATAGTTAATCTAAAACTTTACCAACAACTTACAAATAAACATTCAGTTTGTGTCTGCATGAAAGTTCTTGGTGACATGGTAGAAGTTTGGGAGCAATGAGTCATTTTTTTGTATGCCGGTTTCGAAGACTTCATGTCTAAGTCAGGGTTCAGTCCAAATGAGCAGTTGAAAATGAAAACTGGTTATCCATTTTGTGGTAGCATCATTACATGATGTTTTGCAAATCCTACATCTCGATCTGTACACAAGTGCCAAATTAATTTCATGATTACATTATGTGCCAACCGAGAGATCTCACAAGGGCTTAAGATGACTTAAAATATCCAACTGTATTAAAGAGTAGAGTGATGAGTTATCAGAAGATTTACAGTCCTACGCTGATAAGCATCATATAAATTATTTCAATATGTCATTTGTTACCATTTACCTTAAGTTCCCTGAACTCTGCTAAAAAGTGATTTTCAAGACTGAGGACAAGGTCAAACATTCCTTCTAAGATATGACAGTCCACAAGTGTTATTTCTAGTATCCTGATTTGATGTTTAGTAGTGTCTGCCCTAAGTAGGTCATGCTCAATAATAATTAAGATTTTTAAACAAATACTGTAAAATAATAAAATGCATCTTAAATTACACAAAAATATTGATCATCGGATTATGCATGCATGAAACTTTTACACCACAATTACAAATGTTGTAAGACAAACACATTATACATTACTCAGTATAAGAGATTTAAAGTCACAGTGAACCGAATCTACCAAAACCACAAAATCATACTGTTGCTGTCTTATTTAAGGTTTTCAGTTCTCAAAGGTGTTCCAAAACATAAGACCTCTGTTTAACAGAATGTAACTTTGTTTGACAGAGGAAAAGGCTTAGATGCCCTGAAGTTGAGGAAACTCCCAGTAGTCTGCAAGGTAGAATACATGTTTCCTTGCAAATTGTGCCCTAGGCAGGTGTCCACACGCATCATTCTTTTATTTTCATTCTTTGCAGAAATAACAGTATTTTCTACTTGAGAGTAGAGTTTTGCTTTTTGGTATTATTGAGCCACAGAGGTTTAGGAAATTCAGTCACTAACCACTGGTTAATTGTAATATTTAATAATTCAAAAGGGATTGTATAACAATACCCTTTAACATACATAGGTATGCTGTATCTAATTCTTGCTTCTACAGAGTCATTTAAGAAATCTTGCACATTATTCTCTAATGGCATAGAGCTCTACGCACCTACCTTTCCCACCTGTTGTCAGACCTTTTAAGATGTATGTCTGCTCCTGTTTGTGTCTGTGCCCTCCAATAAAGTATGGTTCTCTTTTTAGCCTATCAAGTTGTAGGGAATACATATGCTTCCAATGGATGGGGTAAGTTACAGAGGATTCCTAGGAAGGGAGTGAGTCATCTACACACAAAGGAGTAGGCTTTAAGAATGAAAATGCAGTAGACTGTGGTCTATTCTTTGAGTATCCTAAAATGTGCCTCTTCCATAAAAATATAGCAAAAATATAGCAGTGAAATCTCTGGATGGAGTCGAAAAACAGAACGTCAAGTGTTCAAATTTTTTGTGACAAAAATATGATTTTCTTGACACATGACATGAACAATTAAAATTCAAGGAACAAATTATAATAATTTAAAGTCATTTATATTTAATAAAAGGTAATTATTAAGATCTGTTTGATCTCTGTTGGGAAATACTCTTCAGTAGATACCATTTTTGAGACATTCAAAATGTCTCAAGCTATGTGCAACTGAACTTTGCAACAGAAAATCAAATCCAGAAAAGAATATCGGAGTTTTCTGCCATAACATATATTTATTTATCATTTGCTAAAAAGTTTCTTAGGCTACAGACAATGAAAGCATATGATTAAAGACAAAGGAAGAAACAAATAATGGAAATCAGATGTGTTGGATTCTTCTTTTCTTTCTTTCCTTCTTTTGCTTGTGATACTCTTCCACACAATTCTCTCCTAAATATGAAGTGCTCATTAGAGTAGTTTCTTGAGTGTGTTCTAGTCTGGTTGCCAAACCTGTACACACCCTGGATTATACTTCTACTTATGATCTTAACATATTCTATCTCCTTTTTGCTGGAGACATAGTATGGCACTTCCGACAATTCAATATCCTCCCTCTAAAACTGCATTAAGATCTCAGTTTAAAATCCTATTCCTCTCCATAAACTACCTATAATGCAAACGCCTATATAAAGCACCTTTCACCAACAAACTCCAAGTACTAAATAAAATATATTTTGAGAAGCCATTAATCTTTAATAGGAAATGGGAGAGAAAAATTAAGTAAAAATAAACTTGCAAAGATTATAAGAGATTAGATTAGATGCCCTGGCAAATTAAAGAACACTGGTTAAATTTTGAGAATATATAAACATTTTAAAAATTTTAAAAAAGTTTGTGCAGACCTTAGACTCATAACACTTAAGCCATCAGCGAATACTTGACAAAGAAGTTCTGCAGATCTATTAAAAATAGAGTTCTTATAGGTAACAATATCATATTATACACTAAGAGGATAGATCTTGCATGGTATTCTTACAATAATAAGAAAAAGAAGGGGAAATAGAAGGAAGAAGCAATGTGTGGGAGGGGACTGGGAAGTGAGGATGGATACGTCTATGCTCCTTGTGGTGGTGATGGCTTCCTGGATAACAATCCCAAACCCATATGATTATATGAAATGAATATGGATAAGTTCTTACTTATCAACCAAGTATCAAAAAGAGTTTATTTTAAAAATAAAACAGTCTCACCTTAACATAAAAAACATCCTGTGTATATCATTTTCCAAACAGATCATCAGAATTCAAACTAACTGCTTAGTATTATACATTTTCATAGTATATGTCTACATATTATTTTTAAATGAAATAAATTGTAATTGATCTCTGGTTTAAAAAGCCGCCATCTGATGAAACAGACATAAACCCTATTCATCTGAATGATATTTTGCTAACAATATTGTTATTGAAGTGCTTTGTTTCTATACACTTTGATGGAACATGACTTGTGTTGCTCCTTTTAGAAAAGGAAGGACTATAGCCTGCAAAGTGTTTTATTTTTCAAACAGTGATGGTGAATTTGCTATGAAATTGTCACACATAATGAGAAATCACTGTGTTATAGCTTACTGCTTATCTTCTGTGTAACTTTGAGATATATAGAAGAAGCAAACCAGCAAGTTTAGTGAGATTTGTGTGAGATTGCATAAATTCTGAAAAGGAATAGAAAAAAAGACTCCTCAACTTACTGAATATATATTTGGGTGATAATTACATGGTAACTGCATGAATTACTTTCACTATTCTAGTTTTAATTAAACTTACATAATGATCAATCTGATTTATTTAGAGGGACTTATTTAAGGGGGACAAGATATTTTTAAGGATGCACTTTTACAACAAAAGCTTTATTTTTTTCTTCTCTGACCACTTATTTAATAGAAATCGCCGATTTTATTTCAATATGGCAGTGACCTTGATATGAAAACTTGCTAACAAAACTCTTGAGATGGTATGTCTGCTTTCTTGCTAGGAACTGTGAGGTCTAGTAATACTGTTTCTTTTTCTCCCACAGTGGAACACCCTGACAAAATGGCTAATGACCAAGGTATGGTGGCTCACTCTCTCATTGCCCCCCTTGCATCAGTCCTGTCTGTCGGAATGTCAGTCATTCCTTTGGAGTCCCCTTTTCACCTGGGCCATACACCTGATGAGGCAGACACTGGTGTGATGATTAATCTTCCTAATGAAGTTCTGCTTGGCTGAGGCTGAGGCTGAGGCTCTGATAGGGAAGATGTAAATTTTCTTGAGAGGAAATTGTTTTGTCTCTATTCTGAAGGACCAATTAAAATGTCAAGCTTCTTTGTATGAAATAAATTTTTAGTCTCTGTCTGCACTTCTGAATAATTCACATTAAGTATAATTAAGTTCAGCATAATTTTCAAGCTGTTCTTGCACCCTTTCGTGAGCTATGGATTAAAGTTCTGTAACTCTACATAAATCATGAATGCTTTTCCTCTGCGATGAGATGCTTTTAATACATAAAAACAAAGTTGGGTCAACTTTTTTTTTTTTTTTAGGACATCATCATTTCTCATTTTGAAACCAGAAAGCTTTCATTCTGTGACTCAGATGCTGGTCTGACTTGATGCATTTTCTCCTCCTTCCCTTCTTTTGCTAAATGCTGATTATCAGCAGGGACAGAGATCATTTCACACAAAGGAAAAATGGAGATAAAGAATTAGGCATCCAGTCATAGTTACCTATGAATTTGCTATCATGATTTGTGCAATGATTGATAAAATAGGATTACAGTATTACAACATTATAGAATGCTGAGGGAAAACAAGAAGAGATTATGAGTTGCATCTTTTTGGGATGCTATGAGATGTGTAAGTGCAGTAGTTGGCAGGGTATTTGTTGCAGAATCAGCAGTAGTTTGCCTCCCACCTTGGGCATCAAAGTGCTATCAGCAGAACCAACACACAGACATGTCTCTCAGGGAAGCATGTTGTAAAATTAGAGGAGAAACATTAATTCCAGCATGAATATTTTTAAACTTTCAACAAATGTTAAGCCCCTTTTGTCAGCTCCCACTGACAACCAAAGGCTACCCACATGAGTAGTATTTAATTCAGTGATTCTGTGTTCAGGTTTTTCTCTGGGTCCTTATACCACACCTCTATTTAACACAGCATGGCTAGGGGCTCATGGTTGGAATGGTGGAAATGATACATTGCCAAGAAAAGTCTATCCAGGGGTAAAATTTCCACAATTTAGCTGTTCCTACTCACTTCCGTAACAAATATTTTCGTAAGATCAACATTGAGCGTATGGAAATATCTACAAAAATATTAATGGTGAGTGATTGTCATTACCATATGTTTACATAAATCATTTATAAAAATAGTCATATGATTAATTTTCATTAGCATATATTTATTTAGGTCAATTAATTGTTAAGGCTAGCCAAATTCAAATCTGGAATAAATAGTTAGAAAATATTTTGTTATTTCAATTATTAATTTTTTTTATTTTGACAGAGTGGACAGTGAGAGAGAGAGACAGAGAGAAAGGTCTTCCTTTTTCCGTTGGTTCACCCTCCAATGGCCGCTGCGGCCCGCGTGCTGCAGCCGGCGCACCGCGCTGATCTGATGGCAGGAGCCAGGTATTTATCCTGGTCTCCCATGGGGTGCAAGGCCCAAGCACTTGGGCCATCCTCCTCTGCACTCCCTGGCCACAGCAGAGAGCTGGCCTGGAAGAGGAGCAGCCGGGACAGAATCCGGCGCCCCGACCGGGACTAGAACCCGGTGTGCCTGTGCCGCAAGGCGGAGGATTAGCCTAGTGAGCTGCGGCGCCGGCCTCAATTATTAAATTATTAATACTATTTTTCCTGCCATGGTTAACTTAATTTGGAACTTTCACAAATATAAAACTCAATTTGTGAAATTATATTTAGAAAAATATGTAGAACATTATATAGAGAAAAAATATAGAAAGAGAAAGAAAATTAGAGCAATTTAATCCATTGAAATGCTGTGTAGGCCGGCACCGCAGCTCACTAGGCTAATCCTCCACCTTGCGGCGCCGGCACACCGGGTTCTAGTCACGGTTGGGGCGCCGGATTCTGTCCTGGTTGCCCCTCTTTCAGGCCAGCTCTCTGCTGTGGCCAGGGAGTGCAGTGGAGGATGGCCCAGGTCCTTGGGCCCTGTACCCCATGGGAGACCAGGATAAGTACCTGGCTCCTGCCATCAGATCAGCGCAGTGAGCCGGCCTCAGCCATTGGAGGGTGAACCAACGGCAAAGGAAGACCTTTCTCTCTCTCTCTCTCTCTCACTGTCCACTCCGTCTGTCAAAAAAAAAAAAAAAAGAAGAAGAAGAAATGCTGTGTAATTAGCCTCTTAGGTAAGAAAATGCCAGATTTTTCAATATGTGAACTTCCAGTTCTCTTTGTTTACCTTTTGTTTTATGCTGTTACTTTTCAGTTAACTGTTTTAATGTCATTTCAAACTAACAAATACACACTTTGCAAATTGGCCATTGTATAATTGAAAAATGAACAGACAATAGTTATTCATACTGCAGACCTCTGATCACCCTCCAGAGATTTCCTTCAGATTGTCACAGTGAAAATTTCTTCAGATTTACAGTGAAATCCTATCAGTTATCAGGAACAAAAGGACCTCAAGAATTATTGCCAGTAGCTGAGCCTGTTAATAAGTTTGGGCAATTGTTCCTTTGCTTTACTTGGTATTACTTAAAAGGCTCTGTCACATATTATGCTACTGGGTGCCTTATTCAATCCCAGCAGACACAGTTGGTCAAGGTGATGGATTCTGAGTTTTCTTCCAGACTCAATTTATTTGTAACATTAAGGGGGACTGATGGCATACATTTAGTAGCAATAAATAATATCTTTACCTTCTCACCAAGAAAGCATGTAGAATTTTCTGGACATCAGAAGTTCTTTATAAGAAACATCAGCCTTCTGAGTTGATAACCTAGTGCTTGTGAAATAATCCTGATTAAGAATCCAAGACTAATGAAAATAATAGCACATGCCTGGTTTGAAATGTTCGTAATCCAAGCACGTAGCAAATCTGCTCAATGTTTTATTGTGTCAACTGTTAGACCTATTTGCCCCCTTCACATAGAGAAATAATTCTACTGTAACATAAATAATAAGAGTTGAATTTCTACTGGAAGAAAATTCCCTGCAAGAAAAAAATTGACATCTTGAGTCAGAGTCAACCTAGCAAAGATGAATCCTAAACAGAGAAGCCAGAGGTTGAATTTGACTTGAGAGAATGTGAGAAAAGCTTTGATTGTTCTAAAAAGGATCTATCTTTGCAGGTTCTTGTCACAATTACTTTTTTCTTGGAATATAAGATCTGCCTTGAAGAACAAAAATGTGAAAGCAAAAAGTCATTTATATTAGAATCAGTTTTGATTTGGTAAAAAGATTTTCTTCTGAAAACAGTAGAGTGAAAATGATAAGACAATTAACATGGAACAATTAATCCATCTCTATGATTGTATATGGATTGTACCTAGCACTTTCTTATCACTGTAATGTTGACCTACTATACAATTCCCCTTTGGCACCTCCATTTACCTTGCTCCTATTTCTGATTATTTCTTGAGACTCTTCAAGGCACAAGTGACCAGGAAGTTTAAGAGTAAGCATGAAATTTTTAGAAATTAATCACAAGTATAATTTTTTGGATGGTTGCATAGGCTAAAAAGAATTGCACAGGCTATGTAGAGTGGTCATAACGTATATAGAAAAGCTCAGCTTTTTTTCTCTTCCTTTTTGACTTTTTTTGTATTTTAACCAATTTGTCTGTGTCTGTGTCTGTTGCTGCCTGTGTGGTAAAACAAGCCCTTCTGAAGCTGTTACCTATAGTCACTGTGCTGAGAGCTCATGATTGATTCATTTAACCTCCATTAGCAGTAGTGTGAGAGAGAAGTTATTATTTTCTTGTTAGCAATAACAAAGCTAAAGCTTAGAGAATTTAAGTGACTAGTTATAGAAACACAGCTGGAAAGCCCATTATTCAAACCCGTAAGACCATGTTGCAAAAGCCTTGTTTTTAATCATCAACTGCAGTCATCGCATAGGAGCGCATGTTCTGTATATGTATGACCAACCACCCATACACCTCTGATAAATAGCTGTAGAGTATCTAAAGAATACCACAAATGGCTCTCAACCTGGGGACTTGTTAGTTAATGGGAAGCTCAACATGCAATCCTGACACTTCTTTATCTCGGAAAACCTAGGTCTGATGCCAATTGCATTGCCTTAGTCAGCTTGAGTAGCCAGTACAAAATGCCACATAGTGGGTGTGTTAAACAATGGAATAAAATTTTCCCCCAGTTCTGGAGGCTGCAAGTCTCAGATAAAAGTCCTGCAGGTACTGTTTCTGGGGCGCACCCTCTTCTTGCCTTGCAGATGGCCTCATTCTCCCTGCGTTCTGTGGCACAGATCAGAAGAGCACAGTGCTGGCTCTTCTCGAAAGGACACTGATGCCGCTGCCCTTATAACTTTATTTAACCATATTTTCTTCTGTGAAGTTATTGTATACAAATGCAATCATATTGGGGATTCGAGCTTTAATATATAATCTCAGAGAGGACACAGTTCAGTCCATATAATCCATACTAAAGGCTATTCTTTCATGCCTTCGTTAATTTTCTACCCACTTTTTCAGACAAAAATCAGAAGGTAAATGTTTTGCTGTCAACAGAATTGAAATCGAAAATGTTTCTAACTCTTCTGAACTGAGGCTATTCTACCAAAAATAAATTTGAATTTTTTTTTTCTGAAATCATTTTAACATTTTAGAGCTTTTCAAGGAATACCTTAGAAAATCTCTTTAGGGGTTGCAGTTAAATTATCTGGAGCTATGTAATATTACCACATTGCAAAGGTGACTAGTAGCACCAACTTTTAACCTTAAGGGATTGGTTTTTTTTTGCATCTTTGTACTCTCTTTAACTCCTGAGTATTTTTTCTCCACATTGAGGTATCTGTGTATGAAAACTGGCATTCTTATATGATCACAAATGCTAAGGATTTCACATGAGCTTCTGGGGTAGTAGGGT